AATAGCCCAGCAAAGCCCTCAGGGCCTGGGGCTGGGTGGGACAGATGACCAGAGTGGGCTTGCAGTGACCTTGCCTTTAAGCTGCCCCAGGACGAGGGTCTGTGGCCTTATAAGTCCCACCTGAGAGAGACGGATGTCCAGCCTGGACTAGGCCCTGTGGCCAGGACGGACACCCCCCAGGGGAAGTGGGAGGGTCACCCCCACAGGGCACAGGCGCATGGGAAAGGGAGGTCACAGGGAGGCTCTGAGGCCGGAGAGGGGGTAGGGCCAGGCAGGTTAGGGCTGACACCCCTCCAGGAGCCCTGATCCTGAAGCTGAGGGAGGCAGAGGCCAGGGCAATGACCCCCTGTGTGGAGTAGGGGCGGGGTGTCCCTGTCTACTGGACCAAGGCCACATGCACCAAAGGCTCAAGGCAGAGGGTCAGCGGTCAGACTGAGACCCTCACTCTGCAGTTCCGGGGTCAGAGTTGGAGGGGCCAAGCCCCTGGGGAGACAGCTGGTACCCAGAAAAAGGCCCTCAGGGCCCAGGGTGGGAGACCGGTACATAAGCTGGGCTGGGGGCAGGGGGTGGGGTCCCACCGACAGCCCCAGGCATGTGGGCGGGTGGGGGTGAGCAGAGGCAGGTGGCCATCGGGACACAGCAAGTGGGGGCTGCAGCAGGATTCAGTGCGTCCTCAAGGGTCCCTTCCCACCAGCCCACCTCTCCCTTTCCCTCTCTCCATCCAGAGGCCTCCCCGACCCCCCTGAACTCAGGCGGCATGACCCCCTGCCCTCCCCCGGAAAGGCCCAGGCCAGGGGTGGGATGCGCTCGGGAGGCTGCAGAGCCCCGGGGGTTAAGTGCGCAGGCCCACACTTTGATCGAGACGAATGAGCCCGCACGTGAAACGCTGAAGCCAGACAAACGGCGCACCGGTGAGTGAGGTCGATGAGAGTGATGTTTTATCAGGGAGAAATGACAGCCCGGCTGATTGCAATTCGTCTTTAATGCCACAGACCGATTGGGGATGAGGGGCTTTAACGGTCTAGGCCCCTGCGGCCTTGACCCAGTGGGGACCAGGAAAGGGTGGCTCTGTGGTCCAGCCTGCAAGGGGGCATCTGGGCACTCAGTGGCCCGGGGCTGATGGCCAGCCTGGTCCCTGGTGGCCTCCTGAGTCAGTGCAGCAGTGTAGAGGGACCCGCCACAGGGACCCTGGTTGCCAGCTGACAAAGTGGACGGCAAGGACATCACACTGGAAAGCTGCCTCCCCTGCCACCAGGAACCTGGGTGTCTCAACACCCCACGCACAATCTCTAGCCGGACCAGTGCAGGTCAAGGAAGGCCAATGCCCCTCACTGTCCACCAGCAGCCAGAGTGCCATTGGCAGGGAAACGGAGAGGCCCAAGGGACTCAGGCCTCCAGAAGTCAGGCCTGGCGTCCCCACCACAGCCTGGGGCCTCCATGGCCCGGTCTGTGTGGTATGGTTCCTGACCTGCCCACCGATGAGCCCACTGGCGAGGTTCCGGGGAGGCTGCGAAGGCATTTCCAGACCCCCATGCTGGGGGCCCTACCTTGGCCTCCCCATGCCTCCAGCTGGGAGCTTCGCACTCCAGGCAGGCTGCCTCCTCAACGCATCCCATCCAGCAGAGACACAGCCGGGAGTATGGGGACATGCACAGGTCCCAGGGCTGGACAGGGCCCCTCGGGATCCCACCCCACCAAACAGCTCAGGAGCCTGGCTCTCCCCCATCTGGCAATTCCTCAGGACCCCTCCCAACAAGGGTCCCCGTGGCTATTCTGGGGGCTTCCCTAGGGGCGCACAGGAGGCAGAACAGCGTGCCTCTCTGACAACATTTGAGGAGCCTTCCTCCTCCATGAAGGAGAACTCCCAGCAGGGTCCTCAAAGCCATGCCTCCCTCACTCACCAGCCAAGGAACCCAGGGCCCAGCGCTGAGAAAGGCAGCGTGATAGGTAGGCTGGGTAGGAGTCATTTTTCATGGCATCACCTCAAAAACACTGATGTGCAGAACACCCCATAGGCCTGGGTCTGCCGCTCAGAAACCGCAGAGTCCCAGACAACAGACCCTTTGCTTTGGCTGAGTCGGGGGGCTGGGATCAGGGCTCCCCCCAGTAAAAGCATCCCGGGTGGCAGTGGGTGGGCTCGCCCTGTGGCCTCCCACGGCCCCTCCCCCTGCAGCTGGAAGCCCCGGTGCCCCCGCACCCCAGCCCTTCTCCCTGCAGGTGGGAGGGTGCAGGGGTGAATGCGGCCCCACACCAAATTGTAAATTTACTTAAAAACTTTTTTTGCTCATCAGTTTTCATTAGTGTTTGTCATTTAATGTGGGATCCAAGACAACTCTTTTTCTTCCAGCATGGCCCAGAGATGCCACAAGGGTGCACACCCCTGGAGAGGTCTCTTCACAAGCCAGTTTGCTGGGAGGGGACGCCAAAACCACACTTTTTGTCCGGGAGCCCTGGAACGAGTTGAAGACCTTGGCCCTTGTCAGGACTCTGTTTGCACTTATAAGAAACAGACCCAGGCAGGGCGGAGAGCAGGGCGGCTTCGGGAAGCTCCGCACGTCACCCCAGGCCCTTCGGCCACCCCCTTATCCTGGGCCAACACCCCAGGCCTGGGGACCCCCGCATTGGCTCTCCTCTTGGGATGCCCACTGGATGCGGCTTCCCGAGACCACTTTCCTGGGGACCCAGAAGCTCCTCCAGCAGCCAGAAGAGACTCCTCCACAACCCGCATGCACCCAGGGACAGAACCACACACACCTGGAAGCCCTATGGTCACCTGACCGTAGCAGGGCCAATCAGGACTCCTCTGCCTTCCGCTCCACGGTGATTGGCTTTGGGTTGGGCATGTGACCCAGGCTGAGCCAATCTGCGTCAAGCTCTGAGCACAGCCCCACCTGAGTGGCCAGGTGACTTTTGTGAGCCCGAGCCCTTCCCGTGGCCACGTGGCCACGCTCTACAGCAGCGCCTGTGAGCCTGCCTCTGCCTGCTCGGTCTTAGCAGGACCCAACCCTGACCTCAGTGGGGCGGCCAGACAAAACGCAGGACACCAGCCCAACTTGGCCTTCGGATAAACAGCAAATGACTCTAGCTATAGTATGAACGTGATAAGTGCACTTTAGGGATACACCTATGCTAAAAACTATTTGTTGTTCGTCTGAAACTTGTATTTAACTCGACACCCTATATTTATTTGCTACCGTGGCACAATGGACTGACCTTGAAACCCAACTGCCCAAGGTCAACTGGGCACTCCCTAGCCCGCCTGTCTGTAAGCAGGGGCACCCACAGCTGCCCACCATGGGGCAGGAAGGATGCCCCTGGAGCCCACTCGTGCCACAGACCCACGGCCTCGGTGCAGCTCCACCACCTGCTCGCTGAAGCAGCAGCAGCAGCCGGGCTCACAGACACTCTGAGCAGGTGCCGGGCAGCCCCGAGTGGCCCCCAGAGCGGCTACCGAATCTGCATGTCCAAGGCCAAGGTCTACACAAGAGTCCTGGGCAGTGCCTGGCCGTCTGGCCACACATGAAAGGCTTGGAAGGAGCAAAAGACAAGGTAGGAAGGCAGTTTGGGGGGGAAGGCAATGGGCAGACAACGTGGGCGGCACCCAGAGGCTGAGCGTCTGCACGCCAGTGTCCATGTGACTCGTGTTCAATGGAGAAGCATTCTTCACAGTCAGGCGGGCACATGACCCACCCCAGCGCTGCCCGTCCCCTCCCCTCCCCCCAGCCCGCCCTAGGCTCGCACTCAGAGCATTGCGGGCAGTCAGGAAGCGTGCGCCGAGGACGCCACGGCCACCCTCCCTGCCTCCCTGCCACGACTGACCTGGACCGCCCTCCAACGAGCCCTTGATGGCAGCAGCAGGCCTCACGTCTCAGTCCATGGCCAGGGACTCCAGGCGGCGTGCGGTGGCTGCTGGGGGACTTCGGGCCCTTCCGCCACCGCGCCGCAGCTCGCCCCACCAGAAGTGGAGGCGTCCTGAGCCCAGTGGACTCTGGGCCCCCAGCCCTGCTCTGGGAATCCCGCCCAGCCCCAGCAGCCAGGGAGCGCACTCTGAGCCCAGGTGCAGCACCCACAGCTCGGGAGCAAGGCCGCCGGGGCAGAGTGGGGGAGGGGCAGGCACGGCCAGAACAAGGGCTGCTCTCCCTCAGCTGGCAGCCGGGAGCCAGGAGCTGGAGCAGCACCAGGGACCTGGGCTCTGCCTTCTGTCCTGACTCAGAGGCGGGCTGGTCTGCAGTGTGGTGCCCAGGACAGGGCGCTGTCCCGCCAGGGGTTGCGGGTGGGGCTGGGGGGCCACAGAAACATTCCTCTAGGCGGGCCCAAGTGTTCACAGGGACCTTTGCCGACCTGGGGCTGGGGGGAGCAAGAGATGCAGAGGCTGGGTCAGCCCGCCGGGGTGAGCATCCGTGCATCAAAGGCCCTGGCCAGAGGGCAGCATGGATGGTCAGCGGTGGGATCACGGACACCAACTGTGGCTCGTGAGCCCTTGGGGACAAAGGAAATGGTCCCAGCTTGTCTGCGGCCACTTGCTCTTGTCTTCGGTCTCCTCAGCTGGGCCACCAGCTCTCGAGCAGTGGTGATTCTGGCTCCTCTACAGGGAGTGGACGCTGGGCAGAACCTCACCAGGAGGGCAGGAGTGGACATGCCCTGGAGGACTGTGGGCCAGGCTCAGTGGCCGGCCCCACCCCACCCCCGTGGGAAAGAAGAGATTCACTGACCCTCAGACACAGGCTCCGGGAATCACGGGGTGAGCGGAGGGAGAGCGTAGGGCTGCCACGGGGTGGGAGCGGGGGACCTCCGGCCACTCCTGCCCCCAGGGGCTGCTCTCACCCGCCCCACCCCCAGCGCAGGGGCGAGCTCAGGACCTGCCTGGAGGTGGAGTGAGAACCTGGGTTCCTACCGAGTAACCAGGTAACCGAGCCAGAGCGAGTGACCTTGCCTGTTGAAGTCCTGCCCGCCCCCCCCCCCCCCCCGCCACATCCCCGCCCCCCACGTTGGTGAAACACATGCAGAGAAGGAGGCCAGCGCGTCTGGAGACGCAGAGCCCAGCTGAGCAGCGAGAGAAAGTCGGACACAGGAAAACCACACATCCTCGCAGCCTGCCAAGTCCTGGGCAGGGCAGGGGCGGGGGCAGGGAGGCAGGGGCAGGGGGGCAGACCAGCGCCGCCCTGGCCCCTCAGCAGCAACAGCAGCTGGGCGAGTCCGAGCTGCAAGCCCTGTTGTAACCAGAGGATCGTGGTGCTCCAGCTCCAACGGTCAGGGGCTGGGGTGCCCCCATTTCACACAGCAGCTGCCCATTGCTGTCTGCACCCCCAGCACCAAGATCCCACCAACGCTGATGGGTGGGGCAGGGGAGGCCTGATGAGGGAGAAAGGACCCCAAAGCCACAACGACTCCCACGACAAGGCTTCCAGCGAAAGGCCAGTGGCGCTGCACAGCCGCCGGCAGCAGTGTGACCACACACACCCCCGCAGCGGCCAATGTGGACACTCTCCGCACGCCAGGGCACCCTCGGCTGGGCACTAGTAGGAATGAGTGTCTGCACTCATCAGGAGTGATGAGGGGCAGAGACCGCCCCCCCCCCCCGTCATCTCTGCCTGCAGCACCATCGCCTCCTTTCCAGTTACTCAGAGGGGCAGAGACTGTGTTGCCCCAAAACATCTTCCCCCTTTTCCTTAGTAATAGAACTCCAATCTGTACGTGGGCACCTGGCTGTCCAGAGTCAAGACCACACTTCCCAGCTCCCCTTGGAGCTGGATGCAGCCTTGGGACCAAGTTCTGGCCCATGAGGGTAAAGAGCAGCACCATGTGTAGTGGTAAGTGTCCTTAAACCGTGAGCTGTGGTCTCGTCTCTCCTGCCTTCCCGCTGGCTGAAAAGTACACGCGATGGCTGGTGTTTCTGCAGCTGTTTTGGATCATGAGGGGGAGCCACATGGGAGAATGCGAGAGCAACAAGGCAGCGGGAGCCTGGGCGTCTGATGGCTGCATGGTCTCCACAGCCGCCCTGGAGGCTCTATGTGGAAGAGAAAGAAACGTCTCCCTCGTTGAGGTCACTGTTTTGGGGGGGTTCCGTGGACACTGGTCTAAGCGTGGGTAAGGCTCAGCCCACCCCACCCTCCATGGCCCTCCTTTCGTCGCTCCTTGCGTGTCTAACGGAGGACTTCCACCTCTCTCCACTTCCACCTGGCCCCCACCCCCATTCTCCTGGGCCACATCCTTTGTGAGTCCTGGGCAGCCGTGGCTAGAGTGTTGTGCCGATGCGCCAAGGCTGTGTGGCTTGGTCCCCAGGTGGGGCACACACGGGAATCAACCACTGAATGCATGAATGAGGGGAATGAGAGCAAATCAATGTTTCTCTCTCTCTCTCTCTCTCTCTCCAATCCCCTACCCCACCCCCTTCCTCTCTCTGTCCAAAATTAATAAATTTAAATGAAACGTTAAGGTCCTGGGACACTGAGGTCTGGAGGCTGGCTCATTCTCAGTCCGGATGCCACTGCTGGGTCAGGCCTCTCACAGCAGGCAGCGCTCGGCACGGCCTATCATTATGTATTTAATGTGGATTCCTTTGATTGCCTGCTTCCCAGGACTGTCATTAATGTGAGGGCAGGGCCCCTGTCTGAGTGTGCTCGCCACCATATCCCCGTGCCCAGCCCCGGTCCTGGGCACGAGTGTTCACCCAGCACAGCCCAGCCAAGTGGGTGCAACCCTGCTGGCACCACCACCCTGCCCGCCGCCCCTCCCCTGCTCCCACAGCCCCTGCTGTCCCACCCACCCCCCTGCCTCCCCCTCTCTTATGCCCCGAGTCCCTCCCAGCTCCCTCCGCAGCCTGACCTCCCTGCGGAGCTCCAGGCCCCCGGCCCTTCCAGCTCTCCGCACCGGCCACATTTCATTTTCTGAATTCTGGTTTCGGTCCTGAGGAAAGAACTGAGAATGAAATTCCAGAGGCAGCTCCAGTGTGTGCTGGCGACCTGGCTTCTTCACTTCTCAGACAGTCCCTTTCGGTCCCGTAAATGATGATAATCCAGCGTTCCCCCCCCCCGGAAGCATTTTGTTCACAGGGGCATTCGGAAGATCAAGGGTGGATCAAGTGCCCCAACCCCACTGGCTAACAGCAGAGGACGGACAGCCCCAAGGGCTGGCACGACCTGCTGGGAAGAGTGGGGGCGGGCCTGCCATGCGGGGGATGGGTCACATCTATGAAAGCTGAAGCCGCCTCGCCAGCACCCCACTGCCAGGTGTGAGGCCAGAAGACGTGCTGGAATGTTCCTGGCGGCACTGCTGGCAGACCTCGGTGACAACTCACATGTCCCTGAGCAAGAGGCCAGGCGAACAGTCCGTGGTGCACCTGTAAATGTGACAGCCCACAGCAGGACCACAGAGCAGACAGACACGGACCACATAGCTTATGCTGAGCAAGGGGCCAGCCTCCAGGACGAGCACCACCACCCAGCGCCCCCCAGCCTTGGGCTGTGGCTGTGCCAACAGCGCTGCAGGTACCCGCCTGTCCTGACCGCCCCCACCAGCCACTGCTCAAGGACACACCCACTCTGCCCCCAGGCCCCTGCCATCCACCTGCTGGGCTTCCTGGGGGGCGGGGGCGGCTCAGAGAGGCCCCCTCCGGAACTGGCACTTCTGATTCCAGCTGGTCCGTCCAAAACTGCCAACACCGGCCGAGTCCGGGTGGCAAACAGGGTCATCTGTGAGCCGCCAGGGGCTGAGAAGGACGCTGCCTGGACAGTGTGACGAGAAGGGCTCTGAGGCCACCTCGAGTCTCCGCAGGGAAGAGTGGCTGATGGATTAGTGAAAACTGTCACACACGGCAGAGGAAGGAGAGGCAACCTCATGGTCCCCGGGAAGCCATCTCTGCACCCCGACTGCCCACCCCAGGTGCCAGACCCACCACCTCCCAGCTGCAAGGCAGCTCGTGCACACTCACCGAGCCTGTAACTACCAAGTGTGAGACCGCACCAAGCATGTCACTGCATTCTCTCTCACCTGCCTGGTACGAGGTGGGGGTGCCGCCCAGTGGACTCCACGGTTGCGGGGTGCGGTGTACACACAGCCACGCTCCCCAGGGGCCGCCTCCTTGGACGCCACAATGTCACCTCGTTGCCTGTTGCCTTTCTTCACCTTTTCCTCGGCTCCATCTCCTTCCTGCCCTTCAAAGCTGCCCGAGGCCACCTCCCTCCCTCGTCCCATTCTGCAAGGACTCCGCTTCCTCCTGAACCTCTCAAGCATCCTTGGCTCAGGCCGCTTCACCCTGAACTTCTGTGCAGTTGTGCAGTTGAGCCATGAACGTCACATCTGGAGCACAACCTTGCCTCCATGGGGCCCCCTGGGGCTCAGCCCTGTAGTTGGGCAGAGAAAGGCCCCTGCAAAGGTTCACTGAGTGAAGGAATGTGCCCTGCCTCAGAGGGAAGCCCAGTCTCTGGCCTCACCCGGGGAACACGCTGGGTCCATTCACCCTCCGGTGTGTGCTGGTGCCCGCCTCTGCCAGGCAGTGACCTCTGACAGCTGTTTAATACAAATGGAGCATTCCAGAGGGCCTCCTGGAGGAAGAGGCAGCCAACCGTCGGGGCGGGCCACGTGTAGACAGGCAGGCTGTTGAACTCATCACCTGCAGGACGTCTTCTGGCTCCTGGGGAGGCTCTGAATGGTACTGCAGGGGTGAGGGGCGAGGGGCTCTGCTGAGACCTGCCCCCCCCCTTTTCCAGGCTGCCTCTGGAATTTCACTTACGTTTTCACTGCACATGGGTTTTCCTGACATTATACGTCACTGTCCACAAACCAGCAACGTCTCTAAGATGCCTTTATTCACCACGAGAACACGGGCTGCACACCTCACACGGCGCTGTCCCGGCTGCCCTGCCCCGAGGTCCAGGGCTGACCCACAAGCAATGTCAGTGGGGGTTGCTTTGCCCCGCTGGGGCTAGATTCTGCCGGTGAGGAGCCCACAGATGAGGTGAGCGGACAGGAGGAAAGCGAGGTCAGTCTATCAATCACCAGGCTCATCTCTGCCAGGTCACTGTGTCCCTCTCCCCAAGGTCACAGCTCCCGCTACCTGGGTCTCTCCTGTGGCTACAGCTGCTCTTCAGGTCTGGGGTGGTAACAGCTCCCCTTGTGGCCGGGCCTGGGACCGCACCACTTCTCCTTCATTCCTTCTCTATTTATTCAACTTCCCTCTAATAACCTGTCTGAGAGTGCCATAAAAATGTAAGACCATGTCAATTACCCATATCAAAGAACACTCTTGTAGGTTCTACTTGGAGGAGCTTGGAAGGGAGGCTAACGCCCGGGCCTCCCTTGCGGCCACCGCTGTTTGTACCCCCAGGACATTATAGTGGAAAGTGTCAATATCTAACCCAATCAATGATTGATCTAGCCTGGCCCCTCTGCCACCCAACCTCAGATCGGCTCTTCTTTCCTTCAGTCCGACCTGCTTCAGCCTCCCCGGCCAAGCACAAGAGACACGCTACTTCCTTCCAGGTTCCCTGACACGCAGCCCTCTGGGGATACAGCGGTGGGTGAAGAAGCCCTGTGCCCGGGCCCCCGGGGGAAGCGAGGACCCGCGCCAAGCAGCGGGAATCAGGGAACTCGGTCCCCAGCGGCCTCCACCCTAACAGGCTCCGGACTTTGAGACTGTCACTTCACCTCGGCGTGTGCAATGGGGACAGCCACAACTCCGGCCCGGAACACAGAGGTGGCACAGCGCTTCGTGCGCAAAGTACTCTCACGGATTCTCCGGGATAGCTGAGGACCGCCGGGAGTCCCAGAGCGGCATGGGGCGCGGGTAGCAGTCTGAACCACCAGGCGCACCCGCGCACCCGCGCCCCACGCGCCCCACGCACCCCACCCGCTGTGGCCAGCAAACCGCCCCACGTGGGGCTCCACGAGCTCGCGGCCCCCGCACTCGATTGGCTTCCGCGTAGCCAACCAGAGGGTGTTATCGGCAGCAGCGGTGCTGATTGGCCGCAGCAGGCCAGCCCAGGAGGGGGCGGGGCTCTCTTTTGTTCTTTCCTCCGCGGCGCCACGGTCTCCCCCACCCCGGAGCCCCAGGGCCTGGTCTGGGCTTCCCGGAGCCAGTTGGGGGCTGCTGGCCGTGGCCGACGCCCCTCGAAGGTGGTTTCTCCGGACTCCGGACCCCGGCTCTTCTCACCGACCCCTCCCCATCGTCCCCATCTTGCCCACACGCAGGAGAAAGAACCAACCTCCTGAAACGTGGCCTTCGCAGGGGCTGACCTTGAACAAGCCCGTTCAGTTCTTCTCCCTCGGTTCCCTTACCCTTGCTTTCTCCCTGCCTCCTAGGAATTGTTCAGAGGAGCCCATAAAAAATGAGCTCTGGATCTTTCTACAATGTAACCAATCAATGATAGGAGGCTTTGATTTTTCCTGAGAGGGAACACGTGGGAGATTGTCCAGCAGGGGAGTCGAGGGGCCCGGATTTTGCTAACCTGAGCCTCATTCTGAATGACAGTCCTTTTCTAATCACAGCCGGCTGGGGGTTCTTGTCCCAGGTGGGGCTGGGTGGGGGGTGGGGCAGAAGCTCCTGCATCAGCCTGGCCAGCTGTGCAAACTCCTGAATCCTCCTCCCTCTTCAGCCACTCTTCTCAGCGGCCTCCCTCTGGGGTGGGAAGTGGTGGCTACAGGAGCCAGGGCCCCGCAGAGGGACTGAGGGCTCTGGGCTGGCCTGGGGGGTCAGGTCTGGCCAGCCCACCACCTCCCACCTCCCTCAACACCCCAAACCTCTCGGAAGCCACACACAGCCCCCTGAAGGCAGACAGGCCGCAGTGCTGCCCAAGTTGTGGACGCTGGGCTCCTGAACTCCAGTCTATGTCCCGAGGTCCCCTCCCAGCTGGTGCTCCAGGTTCAGCTCCTTTTCTTCCACCAGGTGCCCCCCGAAGAGACCACTAAGTCAAGCCACCCAGACACGGGGGTCAGACCCCAGATAATCCTCAGCACCCCTCCCATGCCCCATTGGCCTAGAACCCGCCTGCCAGGTCAGTGCTGAAGGAGAGGAGGGTGTCGATGCAGAGGACGGAGCTTTGACAGTGGCTTGAGGATCGCAGCTTGGCCAAGATGAGAGTCCTCTCCAAGGTCACCAGCCTGGGCCTGAGAGTCTGTGAAATAAAATAATAATGATAATAATAATAAACACAATTCCCTGAGGAAGACAGATTCCTCTCTGATCAGCATTCTGAGCGCCCCTGCATGTGTAGCCCATGGCCCGGTCCTCCAGCCGTGGCAGCCCCTCAGCTCCTGCACTCCGGGCCACCCTCTCCAGCTCTCGATGGGCAGCGAGGGGGTCAGAGGCCTCCCCCGCAGCCTGCAGTGGCCCCTGGAAGGACTCCCAGCCGCAGGTCCTTGGCAGGTGTCTGCTGGCTCCCTGGGGGTGGGGGCTGGAAGGCTGACATCTGTGGAGTGTTTTTACTGTTGGACAAATTGAATCAATTAAACAGGCCCCATCGGGGTGGCTGGGAGCCCAGTGTACGGAAGGAGGACGGGAGCAGAGCCAAGGGGGTGTCTCCCCGCCAAGGCTTCAGGGTGAAGAGGCGAGCCGGACGTGCTCCCTTCCAGGGACCCTCTCTGCTGACCACAGGCAGAGAGGGAGGGGCATGGGGCAAGAGCCCAAGCCAGCCCAGGAAAGCTGGGATAAGTTGCTGGGGTGGACATGAAGGAGACTCTGGGACTCATGCCTGCCCCCCTCCGCCACACCGAGACCCGTTTTTCCATCCAAGATGCAGGCACTCTGGGCTTCTCCGCCCCCTGGCCCACAGTCCTTTGGGACCAGGGCCCCCTGACACCGCAGCCTCCTTTCAAAGGCACTTTGTTGCTCCCACACGGAGGCCTCCGGAAGCTGGGAGGCTCCACCCAGAGCGGCCAGAGGAGGAAGGGGAAGAAGCGGAAACAGACTCCGGGGGTCACAGGGAGCACGCCCGTCACCCACCTGGGGCAGAAACCTACCCTTTGGGCCAACCCAGAGTGACTTAGGGGCCAGCTGCTCTGTGACCCTGCTGACTCAGAGCTGACCGCTGCTCGGGAGCCCACCAGTCCCAGGCACAACCCTCTGCCCGAGGTGCACCTCGTTCCCCCACTCTGGCAAGGATATCAGGGCCACCCTCTCAGATGTTCCTCCCCAGAGACCGGGGTCCGGCGGCAGCTTCTGGGGCTGCTGCAGGGTCTCATCGAGTCTGGTCAGGCTCCCACCCTGCTGCCATCACGCACTGGCGCCCAGCCAAAGTGCCTTTGCTGGGTGACCTCACTGTCAACCTGGACAACTGGACCACATCTGCCCCTTGATGTCAGCTGTCACTGGGCCACCGGAGGCAGCCAAACACCTCACCCACGCAGGGCAGAGCGGTCTTCCTCTGCCAGCGCTCGGGACCACGGGGCAGAGGCTGAGAAAGGGCGCTGACCAACGCCTGGGGCAGGACCGACTCCAGGTCCCACTTCAAGAAAATAGCCTGGCACCGGGGCTGCTTCCCCAGGGAGATGCTGCCCCTTCCCGGCCGGGCCACCTGGGACAGCCCGAGTCCCAGGCCCAGCAGCTTGGGGGTGGGGGTGGGATGCGAAAGGGCAGGGAGAGAGCGGTGCTCTCTCCCCTTGTTCTTGCGCGTCACCTGCTGAGGGCCCACACCTGCTGCTCCAGCAAGGTTTTGAGGCTCTATGGTGTTGAGGACCGGCCAGAGTGACCCGACGCAGGATCTCGGCCACCTAGTGTGCGTCTTAAGGGACAGAGTGCTCAGCCCGTATTGCAGATAGTCCCTCGGGAGGGTTGGACTAGTCTAGGTGTACCCAGCGCTCAAGCAGGTAACTGGGGGACCAGGACTTAGAAGGAAGGAATGGCGGTTACTCCGTCCACGGAGCTTTTGCTGCATTTTCGCCCCGACGTCATGAGCTGCGATGCAGCTTTGGGGCGGAAAGTTGCTGCTCGGTGACTTCGGGGACCAGGTTCAAAGCCGCCTCTGCGGCCTCCCGCGCTCATCCTGAGTCTACCATGAGGCGTGAACCAGGAGATCAACCTTCGGTGCCGCCACTGGCTTCCCAGCGGAACCGGCCGGCCGGCAGGAGCGGTGTGGAGGCGCCCTCCAGCGGCTGCGGCCGGGAAGGCGGCCGACCTGAAGGACCTGAAGCTCAGGCAGCGTAGGGAGAGCACCAGCTAGGGGGGAAAGACTGGAGGCTTTCCCGGGTCTGGCCTCTGGACCCCGCCTCACCTCCGCGACAGCGCCTCCCGCGGCCTCGTGTTCCTGATTGGACCGCAGATAACTTGGGAACCAACAGGGAGCTGCCCAGTGAGAGAAAAAGCAAGACACCGCTTAGGGTGACCCTGAGGGGCTCTTGCCTGGAGCCTGGAGGGGGCAGAGCCGGGGAGGAGGGGAGAGAGCTGGAGGGCGGTCGGGAGCCGTGTCTGCTTTTATCCCCTGCGGGGTGGCTGTGTGCCCCCAGCCCGTCCCTGGGATGGACGCAGCCTCTGGCAGGGAATGCCTCCTGGGAGGCAACCCGCCCCGCGGAGCTCGCCAGGTGGGTGGGCGCCGTAGCGCACAGTCAAGCAGGGTGTTCTGGCCCCACCAGAGCAACCAACACCTCCTCTGAACTGAAACCCTGCCACACCCGGCCAGGAGCACTTCTGGAGCACAGAGGCCAGGCAGACACGGTTTCCAATCGCTTGGCTTTAAGTGTTTTAATAGCTTTGTTGAGACATACTTCACATACCATACAATTCCCCCGTTTAAAGTGGGTGATTCCCCCTGACTGGTGTGGCTCACTTGGCTGGGCATCATTGGCAAAACCGAAAAGTTGTTGGTCCGATTCTGTCAGGGCGCACGTCTGCGTTACAGGTTCGGTCCCCGGCTGAAGCAATTAATCGATGTTTCTCTCCTTCTCTTCCCCCCTCCCTTTCCCTCGCTCTAAAAATAAATAAATTTAAAAGTTTAAATTTGGTTTTGGTATGTTACAGCATTTTTTCTATTGTAATGAAATGTAAATGACAAAATTTGCCATTTTAAGTATACAGTTCAATGGCATAAAGCACATTCATGACACTCTGCCGTCACCACCCACTTCTAGAAGTTTTGCGCCTCAAACATAAACCTTGAACTCATTAAGCAATAATGTTGCGCCTTCCTCCATCCCCCAGGTCTCAGTGACCTCTGACCTACTTTCTGTCTCTATTCTAAATATTTCACATAAGTGGAGTCATACAACATCCGTCCTTTTATACCTGGCTCTGTCCCTAGGCATAATGTCTTCAGGGTCCATCTACACTGAAGCCTGTGTCGGAACTTCACTCCTTTTTATGGCTGAGTACTATTCCGCCGTGCTGCCGCACCATGCTGTGTTCATCCATCGTCTGCTGGCGGACACTGGCATTGTTTCCGCCTGATCCCTATGTGAATAACGAACATTGGCTGTCCAGCTCCTGCGTGCATTCATTTCCTTTGGGTATGTTCCTAGGAGTGGGATGTAATTCAATCTTTAGCTCTTGGGGAGTGAACAAACTTTTCATAATGGCTGCACCAGTATTGTATGAGGGTTCCGATTTCTCTGCATCCTCACCAACACTCGTTACTTCATTATTATTTAGTATAGCAAACTATATACTCGTTAAAAATAACTTACAAACTGCAGAGGAGAAAGGCATTTTGTATTTTCCTGCAAACCTACCACCTACAGGTGACCGCTGCTAATCTGGGGTGAAAGCAGGCTTGTTTGCTTTCTAAGGCCTCGGTGTGTGGAATGGCAGGGCGGCAGCGACTGGGAGAACAGAGAAGGCAGGAGCCAAGAGTGAAACCCTGCCAGGGTTGCCCTCGACAGCCCCGCCTCGCTTGGGGTGG